CACGGTCTAGTCAGTGACGGAACTACCAGTGTGAGAGTCACACTAAAGCTCATAAACATCACCTTGTAGAATCCTTTCAGTGATAGTTGACTACATTGTACAGCTGCAGAGGTCACACATGAAGTAATGCTCCAATGTTACACAATTAGGAAGGACAGTTGATTTGAACTCTGTTCCAGATGACCACAAAGGGTTTTTTGCTGAGCTGTATACCTAACCCTATCTATTATAAACTTTAAAACATAAGAATATGCGCATATACACCTCCTTAAAACACATACAACCCAATAGTCTATATTACTAACTTATCAGAAGTACATTTATGAAAAAAAAAAGAAAATCCAGAATTCATCCCAGATACGGCCATGTCTTTGCTCTGCAGGTGGGGCCCAGGCACCGGGAGGAGGTGGAAAGATCGTAAGACTCAGAGGTGGTAGACAGACCCAAGAAAACAGTCTTCCAGACAACACAGGATCGCTGCATATCTGGACTCACAGAGACAACGACAGCCAGCGCTCATGGACATGCCAAGACTCGAGCCACACAGATCCCGGCACTGAGATGGGGAAGTGGACATGGATCCCCACTCCTAACTAAGAAGCTGTTTTAACACCAGCTGGGACAGGGCAAGTCCAGTGTCCTCCAACAAAGTGTCACTGGGTATACCAGCCACACAAAGAGCAGGGCCCCTGACAACACAGACTCCATTTGACTTTGGGCACTTTTTTGGTTTGATATTTTTCATGTTTTGGTTTTACTCGTCTGTTTTGACTTTTGGCTGGGTGTTTGGTTTTGCATTGTGTGTATGTGGAGGTCTGTGTCTAAGGGATAGAAAGAATATGAAGTTGTGTGGGTAGGAAGGTGGGGAGAATCTGGTGAGAGTTGGAGGAGGGGAAAATTATGATCAAAACTTATAGTATGGAAAAATTAAAGCAAAAATTAATTTAAAGAAAGGAAGTTTCCATGTGATCTAATGACCAAGCAGGGTCTTGAACCTCTCTCTGGTCTAGGCCTTTTGTCCCCTTCTCTGGGCTGCATCCTTGAGTATGAAAACACATGGCAGGTGCATCATTGACCTTCACAGTGAGGCCTCCTCATCCTGGGCCTTCACATGCCACCCCCAGGACTGTAACTCGAGGTGATAATAATCCATATGTGTATTATGATATCCTGACCCACGGGTGATTCTTATAGACAAAGAGAACATAGGAAGGTCTACTCACCTGGTCTAATGTCCAATTCCAGGTTTACTTTCTTATCATTCCCTAGACCAGGGAATTTTACGCGGCAGCAGTAGGTCCCACCGTCAGCTAGAGTCACATTCTCTATGGTCAGGGACACATCTCCTTTGAGGAAATTCCCCTTTAGCTGGTATCTTCTGGATTTCTGACATGTCACATTTCTTTCATCAGTGCTAAGCACATTATTGGCACCACAGTGTGAAAAAGGACAGGGTCCCTTGCCCCAGCACACAGGCACAGGTGTCCCATAGGCAGTTATACTGTAGTTGCAGGGCAGATACGCATTCTTACCAACCTCGACTATAAATGCATCTTCCAAAGACCCTACACAGAGAGGAGAGGAGGGCAAGACGGTGAGGGAGTGAGTCCATTTCTGTTGGTAATACATCATAGAATTAAAGAGGAAACTCTGGCTGCCCTGTTAGGAGGAGGATTGACAGTGCCAATGATTCTCTGTCGCCAGAGGAAGCAGCGAGTCCTGTTCAGACACTTATTATGATTGCCCATGCCTCTAAACCTGGAGCTTGGCAGGTGGAGACAGGAAGATCCCAAACTAGCCTGCATGATGAAATCATCTCTCAAAAAGTAAATTAACACTCCGGAAAGTGATGACTGCCTTTAACCCTGTACTGAGGAGACTGTGGCAAAAATGCAGTGACTTTGAGGCCAGCGTGGACAACCTCTGATCATTCCCTAAAATGCCTGCCTCCATTGGCCTGAGAAGGAACATGAGAACCTGCATGTCTCTCAGTTCCCATGTGCTGTGGGCCCTTGATCCCCACCCTTTCACAATCACATACTTTTCAGCCCTCAAAGAGAACTGTGAACAGTTTTTTGAAGATTAAAAAACCTGGGCTAATGGAATCAACATTCAGAAAAATGAGAATTGTTGGCCAGAAAAATGGCCCACCTGTCTGGGCTAGCTGTCTATTCATTAGCAAAGAAAAGGTAACCTAATTCTCTCTCTCTCTCTCTCTCTCTCTCTCTCTCTGAGATAAAAGTTCTGACAAAACAAAACTAGCAGCTTGCATATTTGAAACTCTTCAAATGTTGTACTGAAGTTTAAATTCCTTCATAACAACACACACACATCTATATAATAAAGTATTCAAACCATATTAAAGATACTTGAAAGCAGGACCACCTCTCCCAACTCTTCCCATCCCCCTAGAGCTCAACCATTCAAAAATGTCCATACATTGCTCCTCCTGGCAATGCTTACACACATAACTGGGCACCTTGGTTCTCTCTGTAGCATTGTGACTCCCAGCATCTGTATCAGGTTGTTGAATTAGGCTCCTTGCTTCTATCATGGATAGATCTAATTTATTTGCCAGGTCTCCACTGTTGACATTTAGGTTACTTCTCAACATATGCTATTAGAAATAGCATCACTACGCCCATCATCTATCTCTGTCTTGCCCTCTGTGTGATAATCTTTCTCCATCTGAAAAGTACCGGCCCAGACTTACTTGCAAGTAGCAGTAGCAACAGCAGCAGGACACCGTTGAAAGTAAGATGTGAAAACATTAGTACCTGGCGGGGAAAAGCAAAGGCCAGCTCAGTGTAGGCACAGCTTTAGCTCTTCAGTTAAAATGGTGCTTCCTCTAACTTCTGTCTACCCCAGAACCATGAGGGCTGACCACACCCACTCAGGGACAACCTACTTCCCAGGGTGTCTGACCAGGTGAAGTTCCCGTGTTAGTGCAGCTAGTCACATCTGAGAACATTCTTGTTCTGTGTCACATCACAGTAGACAGAGCCTGCTGGCACTCTGACGTTTATCACATGAAATCAACAAAAACAAAAGAGTATTTCAGAGAAAGAAAAGTATTAGTCATGGCAAGAGTCTTCTAACATCTCAGATAAAATAGCCTGTATAAACCATGTATAATCCCAGCTGGTTACTGAGGAACAAAAAATATAAACATGTCACTCATGCATTCGTGCTGCCAGGTCCCTCTCCATCAATCAAGCCTGTGACTGCTGTCCTTGATGCACCTGGAGTGGGAGCTGAAGCAATGAAGCCGGACACGTGGTGCACATCTTTAATCCCAGCTGCTGGGAGGCAGAGAGAGGCAGGCGGATCTCAGACCTTAAGGCCAGCCTGGTCTACAGAGCTGGAGTTCCAGGAGTGCCTGCACAGAGACAACCTGTCTGGCTAAATAAATAAATAAATAAATAAGCAAGCAGTGCATGTCATATTTCTTATCTTTACATGTATAAATTACTTCTATGCCAATCGAGAGCCCAGTTCAAATCCTCGGTGTAATACACTTTAGAATGTAATCTATAAGCTTATTGTATCTGACTTTCCATGTTTATAATGGTATTGAGACAAGGAAATGATCAAGCCATCATTAGAAGGGCCACATGCTTTTATAATTCCAGTCTCAGAAGGCTGAGTTGGGAGGATCACTGAGTAGGAGGCCAGCCTGGGCTACACAGAATGGCCTCTGTTAACGATGCTGAATAAGTTGTGTCAGCAATGTATGCAAAGCCCCCAAATCATTCCAATTTTGACTTGTCTGTAACAACTACTTTCCGTCCCTCTAAATATGGTGTCCTCCCTGAGACCCATTCAATTGCCCCTTGGCTTCATCTCTTGAAAACCTCATCATTTTTCAAATATGTAAACAACTGAAGGACAAAGAACATCCAGGCCAGCTACATGTTCAAAAGGGTAAAAAGTTACTGGAATATGAAAAACTTACATTAGGAACCTTGTTCCCACCCAATCCTCCATGTATTGCAACCCTTTAGACTTCTACTTTCCTCAAGTCTCTGGAAACATCAAAAAAAGGAGAACTATATTCTTAACCCTTCTTATTAAATGTGTGTGTGTGTGTGTGTGCGTGTGTGTGCGAGAGAGAGAGAGAGAGAGAGAGAGAGAGAGAGAGAGAGAGAGAGAGAGAGAGAGAGTCAGGGGAACAGAAACAGAAGAGGAGGAAGTGTCAGACAGAGATGGGGGAGAAGGCCTAAGGAGCTTGTCTGGGTGCAGAGGTCAGAGGACACTTCCAGGAGTTGGTTCTCTCCTCAACTGTAGGATCCAGGAATTCGACTTGGATTGTCAAGGTCACACAGATGTCACTGTGAACCACTGAGCTGACTTTTCTTGTTTTGACAAAATGGAGTGTCAAAACACTTTTTATTCCTTGTATCTTTTGTCTTTCATTTGCTAAAGTGATTTTTAAAAAATCGTAGACATGTTTCAGTACCATCTCAGACTGCAATGTAGATCTACTTCCAAAAAGAGGAAATCCTTCTGTGTAGGCATGGTACCACTGCCACTCAAAACAAAGAAAACTGTCGATAATTTTCTATTCCTCATCTTAGACCGTCACCAAATTCTCCTGTCTTTAAAATATTATTTAATTGATTTGTTTCGATCCAGGCTCAGACAAGGAGTCCACGTGCAGCTGGGTGCTGCAGCAACCTCTCTCTTTATTGATGACAATCTGCCCTGCGTTTCCCTGTCCCTCCCTGGTTCTAGGAGCAGCTTCTTCTGAATGGTTTATACAGATGTAGATCTTGCCTGGCATGGGGCCCATGGTTTTCAAGCCAGCTCCCCATGCTTCCAGGAAGGTAGACATGTGAATCCCACTCTTCACCCAGGGGAGGGATGTGCTTACAGTGTGATTATTCTAAGGGTGCTCTGTAGATGCACAATGCTGATCCAATCTGCTCAATTAAAAAGAAAAATTAATGATATTTACAAAAGTGTTAGATTTTTTTCCCCTGCTGACACTAAAAATATTGACACTGCCTTCTGTGATGGCTTGAAAGTTAAATAACTTAATCTAATACTACAGGCACTCGGGGTCGGTCATCACTCTACGTAGCATTTAATAAGTTTCCTTAGAGTTGTGCATTTTAATCCTACTGTTTTTACCTCATGGAAAATAGACTCCTTTTTTCTATCTATATAGGGAAAGTGTGCATGCACATGCCCAAGTATATCAACAAACTTAGGGAAAACAAAGAAGTTAAGTGTGGAACAATTGAGGAACCCAACTAATCTACACTTCCAGATAATCTGAGGATGGTAAGGGCACAAAGGCCACATGAACTTCCAAAGAGCCACTCACTCTACTTGGTATGGCCAGAACAATGATAGCAAACAAAACAGCTGCTGTGTGTTCTCACCTAATATGTCAGGGTGAATTGACCTGGATCGGAATCGCATTAGAAATCGCCCACAAGCCAATGTGTCTTATGTGATGTGATTTCAGGTGTTAAGGGAGTCACAGAATTGCATTCGGTCTCAAGGATCCCAGAAATACAGCTGTAGCAGTGGAGCAGCTTTCTGGAGAAGCACATACTTGTGCCTCAGTGTGTCTAATTCTTTTCCCGTGCACCTCTATTTGTAGTGACCCCATCTTAAGATCTATGGTAAATCATCTGCCAGAAAACCAGGTAGCATGCCCACAGGCCTTCTATCTCTTTGTTCTCCTAAACTCAATCCCTTGGTCTCATCCCTGGTGCTGCAACAAATTACCAGCTGTAGACTCCCTTCCCCTCTGCCCACATCTCCTGTGGTCCACACAGACCATCCCTTCTTAACATCCTTCCTCCTGCTCATCCCAGGCTCTAATACCAGCAGGCATTCCCTGTGAATACGCCAGTTGAGCAGGTAAGTAAAACAGGCAATCACAGCCATCACACATCCTGAAAATCCATAGAGGACACAGAAATCAAGGAACAAAACACTGACCCAAAAGACAAACCCAGAAATCAGTAACTAGACCTTTAATCACCCCAAACCTAGATGCCGGAGTAAGAACATAATCAATAACAGCCAGGGTAATATATCTCCACTAGAGCCCAGCTATCAACTACAGTAGGCCCTGAATATTCTAACACAGCTGAAGCACAAGAAAAAGACCTTAAAACCAAATATGTGAAGAAGATAGAAGTCCTTAAAGAGAAAATGATTAAATAACTTAAAGAAATCCAGAAAAACACAAAAAATTGGAGGAAATGAATAAAACCCTTAAGGAAAGCCAAGAAAACATAAAGTTGAAGAAAACAAATAAAAAAGTTCAAGACATGAAAATAGAAATAATAAAGAAAGCACAACCCAGGCAGTGGTGGCACATGCCTTTAATCTCAGCACTTGGGAGGTAGAGACAGGTGGATCTCTATGAGTTCGAGGCCAGCCTGGTCTACAGAGCAAGTTCCAGGACAGGCCCCAAAGCTATACAGAGAACCCTATCTGAAAAAGAAAATAAAAAGGAAACACAAACTGAGGGAATTCTGGTAATGAAAAATTAGAAATTAGAACAGGAACTAGAGAGAGAACCAAGAGAATACAAGAAATGTAAGACTGATCTCAGGTATTAGTGATACTCTAGAAGAAATGGATACATTGGTCAAACAAAAATCTTAAAACTAAAAAATTCCTAACACAAAACATCAGGAATCTGGGACACTGTGAAAAGACCAAACCTAAGAGTAGCAGGATAAGAGGAGGGAAGAATCCCCAGATCAAAGGCCCAGAAAATATATTTCAACAAAATCCTAGAAGAAAATGTTCCTAACCTAAAGAATGATACACCTATTATAGTGCAAGAAGCATATAGAACACCAAATAGATTGAACCAGAGAAGAAAGTCTCCTCAGTGCACAATAATCAAAACACTAATTGTATAAAACAAATAACTATGTTAAAAGTTACAAGTGGAAAAGACAAGTAACATATGGGGGAAAAGCTATTAGAATCACTGAACCTGACTTCTCAGCGGAGACTCTAAACATCAGAAGGGCCCAAACAGATGTGTTGCAAATGCTAAGAGACTACAAATGCCAGCCCAGACTTCTATACCCAGCAAAACCTTCAATCACCATGGGTAGAGAAACAAGATATTCCATGATAAAGCCAGATTTAAACAGTATCTATCTGCAAATACAGCCCTAAAGATGGTTGTAGAAGGAAAATTTTAAGGCCATTAGTTACAACCACGAAAACACAGGGACCAAATACTCTAAGACCAGCAAAATCAAAATAAGGGAAACACACACACACCACCACCACCACAATCAACAACAACAATATAATAACAGGAATCAACAATCATTGGTCTTTGATATTTCTCTATATCAACCATCTCATTTACTAAATAATACACAACTAACAGAATGGATGTAAAAACAGGATCCATTCTTCTGTTGTATCCAAGAAACACACCTCAACATCAAAGATAGACTTTACCTCAGATTAAAGAGTTGGAAAAAGATATACCAAGCAAATGGTCCTAACTAACAATCTGGGTAGCCATTTTAATATCCAACAAAATAGATTTCAAACAAAAACTAATCAAAAAAGACATGGAAGGACACTACATATTCATCAAAGGAAAAGTCCGACAATATGACATTTCAATTCTTAACATCTATGCCCCAAACACAAGAGCACTCAAGTTTGTAAAAGAAATGTTATTACATCTTAAGTCACATATTGACAATGATAGTGGGGGACTTCAATACCCTACTCTCCCCAAGGGACACATCGGTCATGCAGACAAAAACTAAATAGAGAAATACTCGAACTAACTGATGCTATAAATAAAATGGACCTAACATATTTACAGAACATTTCACCAAACATAGAAGAATATGCCTTCTTCTCAGCACCTCATGAAACTTTCTCCAAAACTGATCACATAATCAGACACA